GGGACGGGTAAAGGAAAGGTTTGTTATCAATTATCCTCAAGGCTCTCTTTTGAAGCACCGTTATTCTATGAAGTCTGTGTAGGTACGCATTACCCCATATGGCAGCACAGTAGTTAAGATGAGGAAGAACAATACTGTTGTATAAAAGTAAAAGCTCCCTTGCCGAAAGAAACGCTCTGACACGACCCATTAAGCCAATACTACAGCTTATTTTCTTACAGACTAAGTTGATATGCGATTCCCATTTCAAGTTTTCATCAATCATTACTCCTAGGTATTTTATTGAAAAACATCTCTTGATCTTAGTTTCATTGATGATGATTTCCATTTTGAATACAGAAGCTCTTTATGAAACATGAAACATGTATTTTATATTATTTTAACGGTCAAAACAGCGGCCGATGTCGGTTCGACGTCGCCCCGACGTCGGCCTGACGTCGGCTTGACCTCAGCAATTGATCTCGGTCCGACGTCGGCCCGACGTCGGCCGGACCTCGGCTGGACGTCGGTACATGCGGGCATATCCGACATCCAGCCGACGTCGTGCCGAAGTTGGACCGACGTCGGGCCGACGTCGGCATGTTTACTGGGCATTTAAAGGAAAAGGGCCACCTTCGTGAAATATGAAGATATCGTTGTTTTTCATTTTGACATTATTATTTTTCATTTTCTTTTTAAAACTGGTGCCAGAAGTGCACAATTCGCGAAAAAGTATTTAAAACTATTTAACATATTGGTACTATGTTGATACTCTCTACGGCACCTACTGTATGATGGCATAGCGATGACGTCACACTCAAGCCAATCAGCTTTCAGAAGACAGACTCGTCTGATTGTGTCAGATAAGCTGATTGGTTAAAGCTGAGCTGGTTGGAGCCGATTGGTAAAAAACCAAAGCCTCGCCGCGGGTGGCTGTATTGTCGGATAAGAACGCATTCCTGGGATAAGGACGCATTCCTGGCGTATTTTCTTTTAAAATTGCCGATAACTACGAATGGAGGCCGAAATCGGCCGTAAGGAGGTAGATAAACTGGTTTTCGGACACGGGCTACAAGATGGCTATCTCAGTTTCAATCCCCATGTTAAAGGTGGCCCTTTTCCTTTAACTAACAATTTGATATTCGGACGGGGAACGCAATAACTCAGAAACCAATCAACTGATGTTGATGAATAGACCCTCATTCGATTTTCCATTCCTCAATGCAGTTTCACAGATGTCCGTGAAGATAGCCAACATCCAACACAACAGAATTTGCAGCGTTGAGCTATCTATAGCCATAAAAACTGGGTTGTAGGTCAACTCGACCACGCTGGTCATGAATATAACCCTTAAAATTCCATTAAATGAATGGAACCCCCCCCCCCAAAAAAAAAAATGACAGTGTACCTTTTTTCCCGGAAAAAAACGGTGCATTGCACGGCGTTGCACAGGGGCGCGGGAACTAGGTACTTTCAGACTGGGGGGGGGGGGGGCACACCATGATAGAGATCAACCTAGGGTACCCCCAAATTTAGTTTTCTCGCCGGTTTTAGGTCACTTATTTTTCACCCCTTGGCTTTTTCAACAAAAAAAGAAAACATTTGCAAAAAAAGTGCGGTATACCGTCTTAAAGTTGTGGGGGCACCGCCCCCACGGCCCTTAACCCTCGCCGGTTAAGGGTTTTTTTTCGCGATAGCTCCGAACACGCTGGCGATAGAGAGCTGAAACTTGGCATACCTGACCTTTGATCCAAGCCGGATCTTTTGACACCAACCGCATTTTTGGGTCAGGTCAGGTCACTGACCTATGGCGTCATAAGTGAACCTCTGCACGGTCTTCAGATGTCGCAACTTCGCAACGCCCTCGCTGCCAGAGGAGATGTCACAGGGAAATGAAACTTGCAGGATCTAGTATCCATTATGAGTCCCACAACTTGTATATCTCGGATTTTTCCTAAAGGTCATATGAGGTCAGGTCATTTTCGTGACCTCACCATTATAAGTCAATGGGGAAAAATGAAAACTGCTATTCTGGCGCCGGGAACGATCTCCAACTATCTCAAGCACACAGAATCGTAATTTGATGCACTCCTTGCAAGGTTAGATGCGTCACTTTTGCAATGTTGACCTTGCGTGACGTCATTTATGACGTCATCAAGGTCATTTTAGTTTTTCGTCAATAACTCTTGATCAAATTGAGCTAGCGAGTCGGGAAAGCCACCAATGGACTCAGGAAGGCCTGCCGAATCGAATGATATGCGACATGACCTCTTTCGACCAACTTCGTGACCTTGGGGTGCTGACCTGACCTTGGCCTGAGGTCAACACCCCAAGTTGACCTGACCCGGACAAAAAAGTATATCATTCGACGCGCCTGGATGAGGCGAACACGATGCTGCCAAAATCGGCGCTCTGCGGCCATTTTTTGCGAAGTTATTCACCAAAAACTTCCATCTACTACCAATCACTGCGTCTCGTAACGGCGCACACGCTCGTTTTTTTCCGCGACGCGCTAGCTCCACCAGGGGCGAAACGGCGAGGGGGGGGTCGTACCCGCCCCCCCTTGGCCGGCGCGTATGTAGAAAACCAATAGGTCCGGCGAGGGTTAAGTTAGGGGGGCAAGCAGCCCCCACTGCCCCCCAGACATGGGCACGGATCCCAGACGACCAAACACGAAAATCAAGATGGCCACTAGATTAGTGGACTTTAAGCATGGCATTATGGTGGAAAACATGGCTAATAGATGCCTCTCAACGAACCAACTATTTTGCATTCCCTCAGAGTTCACAGTTTTGAGAAAATCCCTCAAGATCCATCTCGGATCCATGGCCACACGAATCATGGATCCGAGATGGATCTTGAGGGATTTTCTCAGAACTGTTAACCCTGAAGGAATGCAAAATAGTTGGTTCATTGAGAGGCTTCTATGAGCATGGGCGGCGCCACCGGGGGGGACGGGGGGGACAGGTCCCCCGCTATCGAAAGTTAGGGGGGTACAGTACCCCCCTATCGGCGAGGCCCGTTCAATAATTGATAATAATGCATTGTAGAGTTATCCGTCGCATTTAATGCATCGTTGGTTAATCAAGGCAGGTTCTGAATAAAGATTGCTGTTGTGATGTATCGCAGGAGGTCCTGGCCATCTGCAAAAGGTGTGGAGCTGTGATGCCTGTAGTTATAAGGTGATCGGCAGGGCCTCGGGGATCGTGCCCCCCCCCCCTTTTTGGGGCGCCAGGCAGGGTTATTACCTCCCCACCCCACTGCCAGACCCCATTGCCGACAAAACCAAGTTTACTGAAATTCCATAGATTTCCGCTACTATATGGATATTTTCCATTCCTAATTAGTCGAATTCAAGCATGGCAGTTCTACCACAGGAACCATTTGAAATCTATGCCATTTAACCCCAGCACTTGTGGGGAGAAGTGTTCGGATAGATCACAGGCAGGACCAAAAAAAGCACGCAGTAGCCCAAGACCTTATAATTGGGTAGCATCGGCTCCCTCTCGTCAAGGGGTTCGATAGCACTCGTTTTTTTTTCTGCAAAACTAAGTTCGGTCGGCGGCCGAACGGCTGGGAGTCTAATCGAGCCAACCCCCCACTCCCCTTCTTACGTCAGCGGCTGTGAAAATCGGAATCCTACCCTGGGGCATTTCACCTGCAGAGGTCGCCGGACCTGAGACCCTTTCACTCATTTTTTTTTCAACGATGCATGCGCTCGTTTTTCCCGCGAAGCTCTTGGTAAGTAAAATCCATCAGAAAGTGTGATCAAATAATGGCTGGTGACCTTCCATGACCTAGCATGACCTTTTGAGTGACCACCGATGACATGACCACTGACGGCTAGCCATTAGCTGCACCCTGCCCGTTGCATATGGATCAGGTGGTGGTGGTGATGTCATGATTCTGAAATTATATTGCAGTTTTGGCGCACTTGTCAGAGCAGAAGACATTCCCACTTTTCCTCCATGACTATATGATGGTGAAGCCATGAAGCTGACCAGACGTAAGATTGAAAATTTGAAAGTACGAAACGTAAGAATGGTTGGCACTGCTACTCATCATACCTAAGTAATTCGCAGCTTGTAGGAAACCAGCTTTGAGTTGGCAAGACTGCAAATTTTGATTTAGAGGCAAGGATGCTTGAAAAGGTGATCGATCTTAGGTGTCCTAGGATAAGTTTGGAAACGGGATGCACCATTCGATGTGTTTTGGGCTTTACCAAGTTTCGCGGCGTTACGTGCCTCGTTTTTTTTTGCATACACGATCAGTATCTACCTACTTTTGGAATTTTCGGTCAGGCAGGTCCCCGTCCCCCCCTATCGAAAACCCGTGGCGCCGCCCCTGTCTATGAGTCATGTTTTCCACCATAATTTCATGCTTGAAGACCGTCAATCTAATGGCCATCTCGATTTCTGTGATTGGTTGTCTGGGATCCGTGCACATGTCTGCTGCCCCCCCCCCCCCCCGGTTCCCGCGCCCATGGCGTTGCAAATGGTCCCAAAGGAAAGAACGTTTTAAAATGCAGGTGGGTCATTTTTCCGATGTTTTATTTAAGGGGCCCTTGTCCCTTAAAAAGATCAAAACCCTAAAAAATGACAGTGTACCTTTTTCCGGGAAAACGGTGCATTGCACGGCGTTGCAAATGGTTCCATATGAAAGAACGCCCTAAAATGCAGGTGAATCATTTTTTTCGATTTCTTATTTATGGGGCCCTTGTCCCTTAAAAAATCAAAAACCCTATCTCGATCAGGGGCCGAACGACAGGGGTCCAACCGACTCCCCCTCTCAAAACGTTAGACGCTGCAAAACGCCTCACACAGACGAGGGTTAAATCATTCATGGGTATATCGGAGCCTGGAGGGACGTCCCCCCGGCTTACTCGACTGAGGGGGTTGGGCATCCCGGCCGTCCACCTCCCCTCCCGGTTTCGGCGCCCACGCGTGGCAGGCCCGCTGGTGTGGTGCGCTCGGCCGCGCGCTCTGGCGGTAGGGCGGCCTCCGCGGCCTCCGCGCCCCAGCGCAGAGCACACTCGGCGCCCAGCGCCCGCCGCGTGAGCACTGGCCAGCAGCCGAGCCGGCACCATGCACGAGCTGCACGTGCACGACGTGCTGGGGAGGAAGGCGGCCGGCCACGAGCTGACCGCCAAGGAGATCGAGCTCTTCGTGGAGCGAGTCTCCCGAGAGGAGATCGACCGACTGCAGCTAGGTGAGACAGCGGACCAATCAGATTATCAGACCAACCAGCCGACCAGTCAGATCAGACCAGACCAGGCCGGCGGACCGGTCAGAATAGGCCAGAGGACTGGTCAGACCGGACCAGCAGACCGATTAGACCAGACCAGTGGACCGGTCAGGCCAGTCTAGCGGAGCGGTCAGACCAGCCCACACAGACATACAGATACGGATATGAGGCACCGCAGAACTAAAGAATTAGCAAGCAGTGCGATATTTTCAGCACGTATCCAGGATTTTGTTCAGGGGGGGGGGGGCGACAGGCGACAGCCGAGAAGGGCCCGGAGGTCAGCTCAAAGGGTCCCCACAGCGACTGCCCTGGTGTGAAAAAAATCGAGCGAAAAAGCAATAAATTTACGATAGAATTCGGCATATTGTAAAAGAAAATGCATTGTCTTGCGTTTGTCGACCTTGGTAAAATTTTCGCAGTTAACTTCAGTTGAAGATAACTGCGAAGATAACGTTAGATAAAGTTAAAGTTATAAAGTTAAAAGATAAAAGTTAAAGAAGATAAAGTTATCTTCGAAGATAACGAAGATAACTGCGAATATAACGTTTTTGCAATTCACTTCCTTTGAAGTTCGTTAGCCCACGCCGTGCTGGGGGAGCGTTTTCACGCCCCCCCCCCCAGGTTTTTCGTGAATAGGCATATTTTTGTACACCTGTTCAGTGTTCATACTTTTTCCGCACATGCTGTGAAAATTTCAGACCTACGTGACCTTGCCTCAGAAAAAAGTTCCAAGGCTTGCTAATCTAAACTCTCTAAAACATCGGTTCATAGGATAATATGACGCACTGAATCGGAACTTTGCACCTGTGATCCCTCTGTGTAGGGGAGAGTGGGGCAAAGCGGCCACCCTAACGTTTCTAACGATGCCGAAGCTTGATTTTTAAACTTAGAAAGATTCTTTCTATACCAATGTGATCCCTATTAAATTGTCTTTTATTCCAACTGCGTTTCATTTCCAAAGGCGTTCACATATGGGAGATATTGACAAAACTTTAAACCTATAGCATATTGGCCACTTTGCCCCATCCCTGAGGCAAAGCGGCCACTGGCGACTTCTCAAGTCCCGATATGAGAAACAGAATAGTTCGCTCATGCACGACTAGGGTATTTGATGGTGACAAGGTTTAAGGGAAGATGGATGTTTACTTTGTTATCTTCCCACCTATTGCTAAACAAAGAAAGAATATTCTTGGAAAAACATTTCATTGCATAATTTGGTAACTCATGTAACCGAAAAGTGGCCAAGATGAATGCATGACGACACATTTGAATATAAATAATGTTTTTATCCAGATGGAAACAACTTATGACCAATTGGGGGCTGGCCACTTTGCCCCGGCCGCTTTGCCCCGCGCATACCGTCCGAGACAAAAATATTCCAGCTCAGCTATTAGTGGGGTAAAAAGCATTAAAATTGGTAGAAGGCATGTACGATAACCACGCAATGCATGGACAAAAACGCTTATAAAAATTCCAAACGGTTATGGAATAAAATAACATTTAAAAATTGTAAACATAATTGGTAACCTGGCAAGAAATGCTTTTCCGTGTTTCACTAAACAATGGCGATGGGCCTGAAACCCCGGTCTGGCTCATTCGAACGACCGCGAAGAGAAGTATAATTGGAAACCATAAATTGGAGCTAACGCCAGCTGTGGAGGGCTAAAACGATGGGTGGCCGCTTTGCCCCGGGTGGCCGCTTTGCCCCACTCTCCCCTACCTACCCCGAGGTATGTAAGCGTGTCATAACCGGGAACGCGTGCTCTCGTCTCGCGGAGTCCAACGCTCTAACCAACTGAGCTACGGGACCGGCTACAAACTTGCCTACAAACTTGAGGCTGCCCCACACTGGACCTCGCATGCGGATTGCAAGTTTGTGGTTTTACAGGTTTCTTCAAAGTTAGAGGATGCATTCTACGTTGAGTGATCCACAGTGCCAACTAGCGAGGGAGCCCGCGAGCTTTTGACTAGCGAGCGACCTCACGTCGCATTCCAAAAGTTGATTTTGAGTCAACTTTCGGTTTTCCTCGCTCACGGTTCGTCGGAAGGTAATCTCAGGCTCAAAAGAAACGATACATACCATTCGAAAGCTGACGGTGAGCGGAATCAAAAAATGTTTTTTTTTTAATCAAAATCGATGATGGTCTTTTCTGAAAATTGCGCTTTTGTATATACTTAAAGGTAGTGTGCCAGTTTTCCTGGACCGTATAGAGTTAATGGCCCAGATAAGGAGAACCGGATTTTTAGAACTTATCCATACCTTCAACACTCATGGAAACGTCTTAAATTCTTCAAATTTTGAGTACCCCAGTGCGAAATTCGCCCCGACGGGTTGTCGGTCGTACCCCAACCACATTTCACACCACTATGAACAATAAATGCACACACTGAAATCGCTATTACCGATAGGCTCATCCAATCAAGTTTCGATAAAATAAACCCGTTCATCATCATCTCCTGCGGTTTCGAACACGCCTGTTAGGTGGTGCGGTAGACCGCGCCCAAAGACAGGGCCCCGGTAACGTGAGGTAGCCGAGTCGGGGCAGCGTGCGCTGACCCAAGCCGGAGCCGCGCGTCCTCCCGGTGTCATGTGATAGCCCGGGGCTGCCCGGGGATGCGGTAGACCGCGCCCAAAGCCGTGGCCCCGGCTTGGGTCAGCGCACGCTGCCCCGACTCGGCTACCTCACGTTACCGGGGCCCTGGCTTTGGGCGCGGCTTCTGCTCATACTTTGTGGTGCGGTGGTGGTGCGTCGGGCCGCGCGCTCTGACTTCGGCCAAGAAAAGGCGTCAGCTGATCATTGTCATTTCTGCCACTTTCATGTGGTGAGATGGGGTCATAACTTTAGAGACGGCTGTTTCATATCAATTATTTCACATAAAATAATATTTCAAACCATAAATTAATGTTCAACAGCCAAATTAAAGAAACAATACCAATACAGGCTTACAGTTTAAATTCGACATTGTGTTGTCTATGATTAGACAGCTGATAACTCATTCCCGTACGTCGTAACTCTATAACGACCTTTGCTTATTGTCACATGTGCGCTGCATTCGCGATTGTTGCCGACGCCTGTTTGCAGGTCAGCCCACTACAGTTGTTATACATATCGAAAAACCGATAAACTTTTAGGCGAAAAAAGCACTATTTTAGGCCCATTTTTGATTTTTTTTTTGCGATATTAGGTAAAAACAGAAGCTTCTTATCTTTGGAAAAATAAAATGGGAAATCATTGGAAGGTGGCACACTACCTTTAATAATCTTTATTCAACGGGCTGTCCCAGGCATTGAAGAAATAGTATGCAGTGCTCTAGCGAGGAACATCTTGATATATGTAGTTAGGATTTTAAATGACCTTTTCCTCGATAATTAATTGGAAATTCAATAAAAAGTAAATATTATATTGTTTGGCAAATTTTCGAACAACAGTTCATTCTCAAGCCACATGAAACAATTGACAACGAGGTTTTATAACTGCCGCGATCCAATGTGACGTGGTGACAGGCGACCTGGCCTGACCGAAGGTGACCTGGCCTGCAACCCAGTGTGACCAGGGATAACCACCTTGACCTGACTTGACCCCGTATGGCCCAAATTTCATCCAACTAAGCCCTCAGAATAGACCGTTCAAAATTTTCCTCTGCACGTTTCCGTCCATATCTCTGCTTCCAGACGACAGATCAATTTAAATCAGACACCATTCGTTCAAATAATGCACAAAACTGAATATATTAAAATAATACTGATATTTCGCCTTGCGGCATGATGCCGCAAGGCGAAATATCAGTATTATTTTAATATATTCAATTTTGTGCATTATTTGAACATTAATATGAGCAAAGGCTACTACTTCTCGTATTACATAGTATATATAACGATGCTCATCACAGCCATCCATTTCATCAAACACCATTCGAAAGCAAATTGGCTGCTGCCGCATTTTCTGGCTACGCCGGCAAAGCAAGTGGCGCAGCCGCTTGATAGGGCGTCATCAGCGATAGGGCGTCAGTTGCCTAGTGCATATGTTGCTATTAGAGGTCATTGATAACACCAGGTCAGGTCACAAGTCAGGTCACCAAGGGTTAGCACATGAACCCAATTTTACTAAGGCTGTGTGATGCATGTTTGATTTAAATGTTTTTAAATATTTCGGAACCAGGCCTTCATCTGTGAACTAATCTTTTGAATATTCTTTTCTTTGACATTCTTTTAAATTTTTCACTCATGCGTCTGGCTGATATATTTGAAGATGTTTAAATCAATATTATTTTGGCATAGTGTTTGTTTAACCCGCGCCGTGGTGGGGTCTGTTTATAACGCGACCTGGTGGTGTGGGGGGTATCTTTTGCCCCCCTCGTATCTCCGAAACTACCGGACGGATCTACAAATTTCAAACGGCGTTCGAGAGCCCAGTCAAATTTTTCTAGGGAACTCCAATTTCATTGATCTCGGCGTCACTGATGACGTCACAGGTCAGGTCAAAGATAAAATGTTTTGCCGGTCACGGGTCTTCTAGGGAATGTGCTATAACATCGAATAAAACGCATTTTATCGAAAATGAGCGATAGAGCGTCATTTGCCTAGTGCATATGTTGCTATTAGAGGTCACTGATAGCACCAGGTCAGGTCACAGGTCAGTGGTCACCAAGAGTCAGCACATGAACCCAATTTTGCTAGGGCTGTGTGATGCATGTTTTATGGCCAATTTTTTTTTCATTTCAAACTCAATGGTGTTGATTATAAGACTATCAGGAATGGTTTAGGTCACTTCCTGGTGGAGGTCAGGTCAATGTCAGGTCAAAAAAGGTCAAATTTCAAAGTTGATATTTTTGCATAAAATGGGTACTAATTCTATGCAGGTCGTCACGGCGAGTCTAATGGTGGTCTTTGTTTTCCGCTACATAGTCTAGAATTTCTAAAAATTTGAGCTTGGAAATTTAACGTCATCAATTTTGAGCGGTTTTTTTCGCTATAACTTGGCCAAAAGGAGAGGTATCGATCTAAAATTTGGTATGTGAATAGAAATTGGTAAGGGCTATCACATATGTTCCGTTTTTTCCAAAATCGGAAACTTTTTGAATTTCTTGGCAATTATATTCCTTTTTTTATTTTTGGGGGTCAAAATTAAAAAAATCGAGAGGGTTGTTTTGTAGCCCTGGTAATTCTACATCGTTTATGGTTTAGACGTTTTTCTGTATCTTCAACGCTCTAGGCCTGACAGCTCTTCCCGCGAAACCTTTTTTTGGGTCGAAAACGGCGGAACATGACGTCAGTCTGACGTCATTTGCGGCCAATCTATCATAGCCTTTGGAACTATTTTTGATCACAATGTGTAAAATTGATGCTCAGAGGGGTCCTGAAAGTTTGGTGGCGCTATCGGCAGGTTTTTAGGAGATATCTTCTGAAAAGGACAGGGGGCCGTTTACCCCCCCCCCTCTACGGGGCGCGAGTTAATGTCGAGGAAAAGGTCAACTTTGTTTATTTGCTTTATTGTATTCAATATGTTTCTCGCTAGAGCAATAAACAATATTGTTAAAGCCATTTTACAAAATGAAGCAGAACTTTGAAGCTATTTGAGCTATGGTTATAAGTATACCTATTTACCTTGACATCGCTCAGTATTTCTGCGTGCATGCCTACTATAGTTCCTTTTTTTTCTTCAAAAGGACCGTGGCTCCAAGTTCCTTATCGAAGCTCTCACGTAAGTTTTGGCAGCTTCAGCGTCTGTCCAAGAATTTCTTACCGAAAAATATTCTATTTCCAATTTTGCACGGTAAGTACCCGGAAATTGTTTCTGGAAAAATTAGCAAACTCTGATGAAGTCACTGGTAGCAGCAGGCACCCAATGCACGGACGTATAAATAAACTGGACCCGCAACCACCTCCATTCAGGTGAAGCCGACAAGGCGCCATCTTACGTTGCCAAAAAGCCGTGCTCTGAAAGGTCATCGAGCCAATACAAATGGAATTGCGTCTAAACGGATGATCGGATCGAGATGCTGGTGGTACCGTTCGACGGGTAATGCCTTGAGGCAGGTGATGATGCATGTCACAAGTCACCCGGTGTCACCTGGCGCGTGTCACGTGCCGACAAACTCAGAAAGGGCAAAAAACTTTCAGCGACGCTTCAAATCAAACGGAGGACGGCACAGACGCCACAGCTGCAGGTCACATGTCCCGGTGTTTGACCACTAACATATGGTATGCTAGGTACCGGGGGTGCGAAATGCACGTGCTAGGGGCGAAAACCATGTTTTGAGGAGGCATCCTCCGATTCCGGAAATCCTCGACCTAGGCACACCAAATTCGGCACACTGACACTACTGGACAAGCGTTTTAAAGGTAGTGTGCCACCTTTGAAAGATTTCCCATGTCATTTTTCCTAGGATAAGAAGCTTCTGTTTTTACCTAATATCGCAAAAAAAAATCAAAAATGGGCCTGGAATAGTGCCTTTTTCGCCTAAAAGTTTATCGGTTTTTAGATATGTATGTATAACAACTGTAGTGGGCTCACCTGCAAACAGGCGTCGGCAACAATCGCGAATGCGGCGCACATGTGACAATAAGCAAAGGTCATTATAGTGTTACGACCATACGACGTACGGGAATGAGTTATCAGCTGTCTAATCGTAGACAACACAGTCGAGCCTTAAACTATAAGCCTGTATTGGTATTGTTTCTTTTATTTGGCTGTCGAACATTATTTATGGTTTGAAATATGATTTTATGTAAAATAATTGATATGAAAAAGCCGTCTCATAAGTTATGACCCCATTTCACCACACGCAAGTGGCAGAAATGACAATGATCAGCTGACGCATTTTTCTTGGCCGAAGTCAGAGCGCGCAGCCCGACGCACCACCACCGCACCACAAAGTATGAGCAGAAGCCGCGCCCAAAGCCAGGGCCCCGGTAACGTGAGGTAGCCGAGTCGGGGCAGCGTGCGCTGACCCAAGCCGGGGCCGCAGCTTTGGGCGCGGTCTACCGCATCCCCGCGGGCAGCCCCGGGCTATCACATGACACCGGGAGGACGCGCGGCTCCGCGGCTTGGGTCAGCGCACGCTGCCCTGACTCGGCTACCTCACGTTACCGGGGCCCTGGCTTTGGGCGCGGTCTACCGCACCACCTAACAGGCGTGTTCGAAACCGCAGGAGCTGATGATGAACGGGTTTATCGAAACTTGATTGGATGAGCATATCGGTAATAGCGATTTCAGTGTGTGCATTTATTGTTCATAGTGGTGTGAAATCTGGTTGGGGTACGACCGACAACCCGTCGGGGCGAATTTCCCACTCAAAATTTGAAGAATTTAGGACGCTTCCATGAGTTTTGAAGGTATGGATAAGTTCTAAAAATCCGGTTCTCCTTATCTGGGCCATTAACTCCATACGGTCCAGGAAAGCTGGCACACTACCTTTAAGGTGCTGTGCAAATAGGTGTGCTTAGGGGGCTACGGTTCTATGCTGACACATAGGGAGGGCTCAGAAGACAGATGACGTCACGGGGTGTCAAGGTTTTGTCGATTTTTAAGACTTTGCTGTGCAGCAAATTATCTTTTTTAGGCTCTAAGGGAGCCTTAAGGTTAATATCAAACTGCCTTAGAGCATAAAATCCTCGGAAATTTAATATTGGCGAAGATTGGTAGACACCCGCTGACGTCATCTGTCAAGGTCACCGATGTAAACAAACGGCTAACCATTCTACCTCCTATATACGGCCTTGGGTGTGCTGAGGTGCACGGTGTGCGTGCTGTGCGCGTGCAAACCTTTTAATGTTGCACTTCGTGTCACGTATGCGGGTAGAACAGGTAGCGCTGGCAGGTTCAAGGTGTCAAATTTACACAGTCCACACAGAATACATTGCAGCAACGTCTGAGTATATCCATCTCCTGGTGGACCCCAAAAGTGCATTCTGCGCGTGCAAAAAAAAATTCCCGCGCCGGGCGGTGGGGATGTTGGGACACCCCATGTGGATTTATGTAAATAATAAATATCTAAAAAAAACGGTGTTGCGGAGCGCCGCCGCTTTCGGCACACCTTTTTATATATATTTTCCACACATGCTGCACAACTTTCAAACCCAGGTCACTCAAGGCTAGGTCACCAGTAGGTCAACAAGGTTAAAGGAGATAATATCGCATATCAGTCAAAGGAGGTCATATCGCATATCGTTCGATTCGGCAGGCATTCCCGAGTCCTATAAGCTATAAGGCTATAAGCGAGTAGCGACTACACTTGAGACGTTTCCATCAAGGTTTAAGTCATTCATGTTATTTGATATTCCTTAGGTACCTACTACATACTTACTTGATGCATTTGGAGGAATACAAAACCAGAATACATAAAAATGCATTAACTGAATATCATTGAAATATTTGCAAAACCCAGCAACGCAAATTTAGGTTATAATCGCCGGCAAGCGCAACATACCATTACCTATCTTTGTTTCCACGTTGTTTGCGCCTGCAGTGATGCTGTACCGCAATAGCCATTACCTTCATCTTTCACCCATAGATGGCAGTAGCAGAGCGCCTGCATCTATGCTGTGCCGCAATGCTCTTACAATACGAAATAAGCTGGCGCGGTTGCTGTGATTGAAGATCACTGAACTTGATTCACTTTTTTGGAGTTGTATATGTTTCCAGGATAGATTATAGCGGATTTCAAACTTAGCATCTATTTGAATATCTAAGAAGTAGTTTTTGTATCTAGCCTATGTGAATTTGTCATTTGAGTGTATTGTTTGGTACCTACGGCTATATGAGTTTCGTGCAAGAGGAGCGCAGTTCAATTTTCTCCCATTGACTTACCTATAATAGAAAGGTCGCAAAATTAACATACCTACCCCATGGATGAAGTAGATACTGGATCGGCAACTCCTCGATGTTTGCGACCACCGCTAGGTGGCAGTGGTGTCGAGCGCTAAGGACGCGGGGGAGCGGGTGCTATTCAAAACAATGGTCGGCGTCGCGTCGTAGGGTCGTTTGCCTTGTTTTTTGAAAAGTTAAGCCCCTTTGGAGCAGATTGGAAGGTTTCAGAAGATGCAGGAAGATGGCAAGGTAAGATTGGTAAGGTTTTCTTATGGTTGGAAGGTCTGAGTGGCCTAAGATATTACTGTAAAGAGGGGCTGTTGACGATACTGGCGCACATTGCTTCTCGCCGTATGTCGTCAAAAATCATATAATTTGGGCCGTAATTGGTTAATCACTTATTTATATGTTCAATTTTATGTTCTTTATATGTTTGTTATATGTTTGACACATCATATCACAAGCTTATACATGCCGCTGAATTGATGATATAGCCATGGTTTTGTTTGTGACACAATTTCGGTCTTGGTAGCGCATGATGGTGGTGGATGATGCATTGTTAGTTGTGAATTGCTTAAGTTTTTGATAAGTTTTTAGTTTGGCAAAATCAGTTAGTGTACCTATAAATTGGTCCACTGCTCACTGCTCAGTACCTACTCACTGCTCACCCATATCAGTTTCCTACGTATTTCTCTGAACGGCTGACTAGAGTGCAACACACTTCAGGACTCAGGAGCAGTTAACTGGCATCATGTCATTTCAGCTAATTTTTATAACCTGCTTGCCATTTGCCAATGCCCTGATTTCAAAAGTAGAGTTGAATGATATTGGATCAAAAAACACATTTAAATAAATCATGTTCTCAGCCTGAAAAAAAACTGAACCATTTGACAGTAAAAAGAAAGCCTAACGGCAGCCAGTGTCAACCACAAAAGAGTGCCGACCCTGGTCCCTGACATCAGCTTCCTTCTTTTCTCAAAAGTCGAAAGGTCCAGAGTTGTACGAAGAAGTTTGTGAGCTTCCCTCCATTGAATGATATATAACAATCACTTTTTTAGAACGAGTGCTAGACAAACTGTGTAGATATCAGATACATTTAAGTAAGATCAAAGTCATTTTAAACTATGTAAGCCTAGCAGATGAGGTGTTAAGCTTTTGGTTACTTTTGTTAGGTAGTATCCTGTCAAGGTATTATTATTATTTTTTTTTGCTCAACATCATCGCAATGTAAAATACTTTTTTGTGATGTTGTGGCCTGTGGGGAAACAGTTTGCCTTGGAATGCCCTCACTCTCCATTTCATTATGGTATGTTCAGGTATCTAATTTCCCTCTCTCTATCTTTGTTTCAGATCAAAGAGATGGGTTCAGTTTTCACGGTGTGCTGACTTGAATTGGCATCCTGTGATTTGTGATGTGAATTATGATGCACGCACTCGCAGGTGCACGCCCGCTGCGGACACGTGTGACGTGACGGCAGCAGGCGGACGGGGTGTGAACTGTTAACTGGCTCGACCGAAAATTGTTAGTTATCACAGCGTGTGTAACTGACTAACATACCTATGGGCATACCCATTGAGCGGATAATGCGTTCGTGTGCATTATCGTGTTTGCATTTATTCCCGATATACTCTGGTGGGAGATGTGAATTGGAAACCAACTTGGTGCTACGACACCGTTTAGTAGGCATGTGGCACGTCGTTTCTCGAAGACTTCCTATCAATCTGTTATTGTAAACATTGTGTGTCATCTTTCACCTTAGTTGTCATTTGAACCTGTGTTAAATTCTGAACCTCAGACCGGAACAGACTAGGAAATCGCACGCGAAATTCATTAAGTTGCAATAGCATCAATCACACGCAAGTAGGTGCGTGCTATGGATGCGAGTGCGACCGGGGTTTATTTGAATAGGCTCTCGGTCTCGCACATGATTTCTGACTGCGGAAAGAGTCGGTTTCAGCCTCTACTCAGTATGCATTTCGCTCATGCGACGGCAAATATAAGTTCAATACGGAAACAGTTTTTTAACGAAACGGCGTATGGTAAGCTTATAATCCTGGAATGCTTCTTAAAAGAAATTTTAAATGATGCAGATGTTCGTTAATCGATATGACAGCATTTGTCTTGATCTTTATAAGTCAGTCAAAATGGCTGTAGTAATGATTCGGATGTTTCACGGCGAACGGCACATTCCCTGTGCCGACGACTGAGTCCGAATGCTTAAGATGATCAGCAAGAGGGCAACCCGAGTGATAGACAAAGTCGTTTGATCGAAGGTATTTGCAGGCAGAAGGCGCCTGGCCTGGCCATGAGAGCTAACAATACGACGTGCTGAGGTAAAATCAGCCAGTCGCGCTCGGCAAACGACCCATGCACACCATTCTTTCCAAAACGATAGAGAGTCTATGGAACCGCCCTGTACCACTCTTTCGGGACCCAACACTGTTGGCCGATGCCCAACTTAGCCGCGGCTGGTTAAGGCCATGTAACTTGCCGGTCATTTTCGGACTTTGCTGGTATTGGCCGCTGCCTGACTGGGCGGCGGCGGCGGGCTGTCCTTAGCAGGGACCAGTTTGCTCGATAGGTGGCAGCACTTTCGGGCGGTCGCGCAGTACAATGGGAATTCCGCGGAGTTGCCGATCCAGGTAGTAGGTAATCCATGCCTACCCCTAGGCCAATGATATTTAAATTCCGATGTATCCGTTATGTACCTATGTAAGGGTGCTCTTATGAATCGCTGGACGTTTTAAACCGATTATTTAGTCGTGTAGCAATGACGGGCATTATAACTTTTTCTGTGTGTTATCTATAAAAAACAACAATATATTCAAATACACGATTAAAAACAGAGCTTTCGGTAACAAATACCTTGATCACTGTGTGTGCTAAAATGAAGGAATGTTTTCAAATATTTCAAAAGGCAAATTGACTTCATCGCACGGGATACACTTCAGGGACTACCTATTACTAGACGAACAGCACCAGACGCCCGCGCTCGACTCGGAGGGTGCTTCTCCCAATTTCTAGTACCAATTAGTTCCAAATAATGTTGAACTCAATGGGCAGTGCCAATTGCAGTTTCAAATCAGTCCCAAATGATACCAAATGCATAGCCGCGCGTGTTAACATTTGGAACTATTTGGGCCGCATTTGGGACTCATTGGTACTCGATTGGGACTGCCGGCCAGCGGCGGATCCAGCGGGCGGCGGGGGAAGCTGATTGGTTGTCTTTGCCCCGTTTCGCCGGCCGGTCACAGGGTGCGCTAGCGTCGACTGCGGGCGGCGGCGGGTGGGCGGCCGGCGCTGAAAGAACGTATTAAAATGACAACATAAAAATGTTTTATCTTACATATCTCCCCTCACATTAGTCGCATAGATTTGTTCTTGGATTCAATCGAAGGCGCTTTCAACAAGCTATGTTGCTATGCCATGTTTATGCCAGGATATAGTCGTTCAATGAAGTTATTGGTGTTTGAAGCCGTTTATTTCAAGTCCTATTATTTCGCATTTTGCTACGTTAATTGTTGCCTCCTCCTTATCAGCTCTATCTACCGAAACGCCATGTTGCTATGCATTTTTTATGCTAGGATTTAATAATTTAATGAAGTTATTAGTGCTTGAAGCCGTTTGTTTATCCTATTATTTCGCAGTATGCTTCGTTAATTGCTGCCTTCTCTTTATGCCTGAGACTGGTATCATTGTGACCCTCGCACTTGATCCCCGGTATGAAGGCGACCTCATGATGGCGAGGTCAGGAGTCCGAAATGACCTCACGTGACCCTCAGGAAAAATTTAAAATATGTCCAGCATGAATCGTAAAAAAAAATATATGTGTAGGTTGCTAAGCTACTAGCCTCTGGCGACATGTACCACGTCAGTGCGCGTTTCAGTCGGGTGAATGGCGATGTACCGAAACATTACACTCGTTCTTGATTAAAAACACAGCCGCGTGAACATTCCTCCCTGATCAAGACACAGTCACGGTGGGGCGCTGGTTGATCCAGCGAAACAGTTCAGTCACAGCCCACGTTTAGAAGGGTACGGGACGATCTATCCAAACATTACAGCCCACGCGCCACATGTGCGTCGCCACCACTACGGACACTAGACAGTGTCCGTACAAGTTTTCGGACCTTTCAAAACTTGTACGCAATGTCCGTACATGTTTTGAAGACCGAAAATTGGCTTGTTGCATCATATTTGAGTGACATAAATGCCGCAAAAGTATTATCAGCATTGCTTTTATCATTTTTCTGTAAGTATTCAGGACATTTGTTTCAGACAAGGAAAGGAAGCGGTCTTTATCACATTTTATTTTCGATGCATCAATGACTTGTTTTCTTTCAATTGTGCTGGTTAATTAGGTACAAATTGATTTCAGATGATCTTTTGAAAGAATTCGCTTTTCCTCACACTACTGAGCAGTTGGCAGGGCAGGGGCCGCCCCTCAGCCCCGACTCTCTCCTTGTTGAGCATCAAAGGATACGGAAGGACAAAGTCAGCAGATTGAAACTGACTAGACCGGGTCGAACCGAACTGAACAGAGTGGGCGAGTCAGGTTAAGGCAGTTGATGGGGGAAATGTAATGTTGAAACATGGGCATTGGGCAGTGCCAAGGCAGGTGTAGAACAGGCAGGGTAGGGTTAAAGGACAGGGATGTTAAGTTTTAAGACAGGCCGGGTCTGCTAGGGAGAAAGGAGGTTGAAGGGCGCATGCGGATGGTTTGCAAGACCTAAACCATGGACCGGTCATTCGCCAGGAAAAGAAGGGCACCACATTTTAGGGCATTGACGAATGGGGAGGGACTACCTAGAGCAAGCTGGGCGTCAGACAGAAAGGGCACTGAGCTGGGTTAGGCACGGGAATCGACCGGGCGCAGGGCAGGATAAAGAACAGGCACGGGAGGGTAGGGTAGCGGATATGCAGTGGATAGGGCATGGCATATGCATGGCAGGAAGCCGACAGGACCAGGCACAGGCAAGGTAATCACAGGATAGAGCAGATGTAGGAATGTCATATACAGGGCACAGGAATGGCGATAGATATACATTATACAGTGCAGGATAGGGGCACAGAACAGACCACAGGAAGGGCACCTACACACAACACAGGGAGGTACAGAGCCCAGGTAGGTGGGGACTCAGTAACACAAGGGCCTGTGAGAAAGAGAACTGTTTCCCACAATATGACGCATGCAAAGAGATCCAATACCGCTCTAAAGTGGTCCCACAAACGACACATTCATGCTAGTCAGAAAAGTATCAATATTTGGAGAACACAAGTGATTCTTACCTACTTACTCAAGCGGACCCAAGCGACGTGGGCCGATACGAGGAAACGTCATACGGGGAAACCGTTAATCAATAGAATGAAGAAAAACTAAAAGTGCCATCGTTATTGGTAATGTTGTTCGTGATGTTGTTTATGATAACCACAAAGTTTAACTTTCGAGTTAAACTGTCAACTGACTCATGGACTCAGCGATCGCTGGCCCGACATTCTTCAAGGCATGTCCTGGAGCCCTCAGAGGTCGACGCAGGCTCTCAGAGGCTGGTGGGGCCCTCAAAGTTCTGCAAGGGACCTTTAGAGGCCGGACTGAGGCCCTCAGAGACAAATGCAAGGTTAGGCCCTCAGAAGCCAATGGGGCCCTTAGAGGCAGACTTGGGCCCTCGTGGGCTGGAATGGGGCATCCAAAACCGCATGAAAGTAAAGTCAGCTGCGTTGGACTCCTGGAGGCCGGCTTAAGAGCTCCAAAACTCGGCGTGGGCTTCTAAAGATCGGCTGGAGGCTCTCAGCTATCTGTGTAGGGGTCTTCTAAGGTTTATATAGGCCCGCCCCTCAGTAGCCGGGGAGGGCTCTCAGTGGCCAACAAAGACCGTCAGGAGCCAACGCTGAATGTAAGGGCCTAAAGTCAGTCAACAAATCAGTCATCGGGAAACATACTTTTTTGGACGGGTTTGTTATTCGAGGAGCGCTTGCAATTTGCATTTTGTATGCGATATGGGGATGATGGGGATGTACAGTTACATACACTATTATACCAGATATTCCAAATGGCCCACTGCGGCCGGAATCCGATCTAAAATACCACATAGATCCGTGAAAAATAGAAAATCAAGACGTACAAATCCTCGAGATGACCAGAATTAACGAAACGACGACAGCATTGTCGCTTGAAGCTTGCCAAAGAGCGCCAAGTCTGATCTTTGAAGCCTTTTCATCCGTCAAACCGGCAGAACAACCGCGTGGGGACTGCTGATGCATCCGATGTCCCGCCCGTTCTACCCTTCCAGCATCCGGCAAAGGTGCAAATCACCGGGCAATGGGGCTCCGGGTGTTGTCAGCCTTTCATGTCGTGCCCCCCCCCCCAAAAAAAAAATCACCAAAAATAAGGCATATATGCAACCAGTGGAACATCCTGTCAGACGAGCGCCCCCGTCTAATCCACTGATGGGGCCAAAGTGGGGAGATGATTAAGCGCACTATCGTGCCCGACGCAAAGGAAATCTTTCTTCATGTTTGCTGAAGTCCTTCCTCATACGGCAAATATGCGCAAGATTGGCGCTGTGAGAACCTGTCCTTCCTCTGGACGTATACAATAGCTGACCTGGGAATAACTCAGACCTTAATCCCATCAAAACTCTCTGGGTGACTCTTTAAGAGAACGTCAAAGGGCTGCTAGGAGCCACCCGGATCGTTTGCCTCACCAGACAGTTCCAGAAGGTGTGGGCTAAGCTTAACCCTCGCATGTGTGCGGCGTTTGCCAGCTTCTGATGTGTAGGGGGGGGGTCGGTTGGACCCCCCTTGCCGTTTCGCCCTTTATCGAGCTAGAGCTTTGTGGAAAAAACGATCGTGTTGCCCGTGACGAGAGGAAGCCGATAATACCCAATTTTCCTAGGTCCTAGGTCAACAAAGGTCGGGAAAATCGGGCCCTGTTAGAAAGCCGTAAAGCGTTGCTGGTATGGAGTTTTTTCGGGGCGCTGCTCACGAATATCGTGTTAGTTTTGATCACAGATG